TGCAGTGATTTGAGTGGGTAAATGTGATGATTTGCCAATGGAATGAGTATTTTTATACTTAAAATAAGATAATTAGATAATATGTACTTGAAATAAGACAATGTGATTGTTTTTTTTTCTTATTTTAAATGTAAATTGTCTTGTTCCTTTGGCAAAATGTCTCACTTACCGCCTCAATCCATGAAAAAATGCAGTTACTGTAAGAAAAAAATTACTCATTTAGAATAAAATTTTTTGCAGTGCAGTTAGACATGATCATCAGATTTCCATGTTTTCAACTCAGATTTGTTTCAAATTTCTAACCTTCCTGAAATCAAAGATCAGATCCTCGGCCTTTTAGGGCGGATCTCAGAGAACGCGGGTTCGTTTCCGCTCCTGTTGACATGAATCTGTGTTAAAAGGCCACTTCGCTCGGCTTCGGTTCGCTTCGCTGTGACCTCAGATGCTGCTCCCAGCTGATTGAGCAGCTCGCACTGGGGGAGCTCACGTCGGCTCCAGTCGGATCCATCAGCCTGCCGGATAATTCATTCAGCCCCTGCAGCTCAGTGCTCTGGGATCCAGTTTCTGTTTGGCGCCCCGGAAGCTGCAGCCGTCCCATGGAGAGCTGCAGCCGGCGGTCTAATGGTTACAGCAGAAAAATCATTGGCTGCCATTAGATTACAGCCGCTCTGATTCATGAACGCTGGTACCGGCGAGCCCTAATGGGAATCAGATGAGAGCTTCCGTAGCTCTGGCGTGCGATTGGTGGAGTTGATAAAGTGTCTGTCTCAGACGATGTCCATGCGTCCGTTTATCCATCAGCTCCAGATGTGCTTCAGATAACATCTGTTTTATTGCTTCGATCAATAGAAATCTAACGCTCTCCTTCATCTCCTGTGCAGTGATGTTTCATGGAGCTCCGCCGGCTAAGATCAAACGAGAGGCCGCCGCCGCCAAGGAGCTGTCCCCGTGCCACCAGGACCGGAGTCCCATGCCCTACGGAGAGAAGTGCCTTTACAGCTACAGGTCAGCAGAGGCGCCCCCTGCAGGTCAGCCTGACGCCGGCTGCTCATCGTCCGTCTGGTTAATCTCTATCCTCTTCCTCCGCAGTGCCTGCGACGGAAAGCCGAACCCCGGATTCAAGCCATTAACCCCCCCCTCCACTCCAGTGTCTCCCTGCCTCCCCAGCAGCACAGCGCTAACGCAGACCCCGCCTCCTCGTTCCCACGTGGCCAACCAGACGCCGGGGCTGCGGCAGCTGCAGCCACCTCCCAGCCAGCACGCTCTGCCCGCCCAGAGCCCCCCCTTCGCCGTGCCCTGCGTCCCCCCCAGCCAGGATGCAAACAGCTTCACGGAGCACAGGTGAGCGGCCGCCGCCCCCATCTTTACCTCCATCTACAGTCTTTGTTTCTAGAAAACCGATATCTGATCCTCCGTGTTTAGGTTCCAAAGGCAGATGTCAGAACCATGCATCCCTTTCCCCCCGTCTAAGAGCCAAACCCGCCCCCCGTTCCTGCAGCAACCCCCCAGCAGCAACAGCCTGCCCCGCGACGGTCGCCCTCCCTACCACCGGCAGATGTCCGAGCCGCTGGTGGCCGTTCCTCCTCAGGGCTTCAAGCAGGAGCTCATCGACCCTCGATACAGCGAGCAGGGCGGGGCCCCCATGGGTCCCCCCCGTCAGCAGGCGTTCCACCCTATGGCCATTAAACAGGAGCCGCGGGACTTTTGCTTCGACTCTGGTGAGTACCGGGTATCTCAGGAATGTTTGTTTTGGTCTCCAACACTTGATTGTGAGTTTTAACGAGAGGCGGCTGTGTGCGCACACAGGGAGACAGAAGCAGAGATACAAAAGGCGACTGTAGAAGGAAACACACAGCCAGGCAGACGAGCTCCGAGCCAGCTCCCATGTCAGAGGATGAAGAGAGCACATCCAGTTAGTCACAGTCAGAGAAACAG